TTCGGCTGATGCATGGTTTACCTTTGAGCACCTGAAAAAATTTATTTTGTGCAGTTTTGTCATTGGTCACGAGCCATAAACGCCTGACGAAAATATGCCGTTGACTGACAGCAGAAAGTCAAAATAGTTTCGCAATACGCGATATAGTTCATCACACTTCCAGTAGAAGTCTACAAATTTCTTTAACTCTCACTAACAAAAAAAAAATAAAAAATAAAGTCGGTGTTTCTAGTCTTTTTCCATTATGCGTTTCATATCGTTGCTAAGGATTAAAAAATTTAGAAAATTAGTTAGAACTAAATACTCGGATTTGTTGCAACTTTCGGAAATAATCATTGTGACAGCGCGGAAAGGATCTGCCTCTACGCTGCTTTGTTTAAGTTCGATATCGCTGCTAAACTCATCCGGCTGTTTAAACTGACGCTGGACAACAGTAGTAGCCCAGCAAGAGTTGAGAAGGATCTCTCCGAGCCGTTTTAGACAATGTGATTCCTTATCGAGTTTAAGTTGATGCTGAAAAAAACAACACGAGATGCAGAGCTGAAAGGGAAAGTACAATCACATGATTGGCCTTGACATCATTGGGCTTAATAATGGGTCTGGTAGTGAATGAGGGTAAGACGAAATTTCTCTTGTTGTCTGCGCTGGCTAGGTCATGTGGTCCGAATGGAGAATACTCCAGCTTTGAAAGCTTTCTATGCATTACATAAAGTATTTAGTTCTTCAGAAATTTCACTTATTTTTAAATCAATAACTGTATATACCCTAACCAGCGAAGCTCTTTATACATAGTTTCAAATGAATACGCATTAGGTATACATATTTACGTGCACCCGCACACTGCATTTCTTATTCCCGCTCAGTGTACTCTCAGGCACTTTCACAACTCTCATAGCTACATCCTTTGCATACAAAAATAGCTGCTCAACAGCCAGCAACATGTAAGCTAAAAAATAATAAAAAATACGATTGCGAACGAGTTCGGCCGAGTTTTATACTCAATATTTGTGGGTTGCCATTTATAGCGGCAGTGTCAATGTCAAGTAAACTACGACTGTGGCCTTGGTAGTCTACATTCGGCATTGATTCTGTCATTCTCCTCCGCTCTTCAAAACCCAATAAGCACAATCAATTTGCTTCGAAATCGAGCCTTTCCACTTAGTCTTAGCGTTTCCAATTGCTCAATTCTGATTTATTGTGCACCAGGCTGACCCAAATTTTACCTTGTTGCAATGTCGCAGTGAATAAATTCTGAAAATTCTGAAAATTTTATTCAAGTGTTTTGGGCAATTAATGTTTTCCCGATGGGCATTCATTTAGTTTTTTTTAGTGAAATAATATATAAATAATTGAAAATACATATTTGTCGATATATCATCACAGCCTTTGTGTTCATTGGGATCGGAAAGATATATAAATTTTATATATAAACAAATACCGGTAGTTTATACGTATTTATATTTATTTGATTATTCGTGTAAAAGTGTAAATATTTATTAAAATAACTTAGTTGGTTGGCTGCTGTGGTTGTTGGGATGTCATAGACGGATTGATTTTTAGAATATTTATTGTCTGCAAACAAAAAATAAATTTGTAAATAGAATTTGATGATAATTTCAATTCAATTTCAATTCAATTCAATTCAAAGCTACCACACCTTCAAGTTCTACGCATTACGCCGCATTCAGACCTCAAGATTTCCTATTCGTATTTCGTGTTTTAGGTCTTAGCATTTCAAGACTTTAACCATAAGCCAGGTACTTATCAATAAACTTGAAATATGACATTAATGAAAGGGTAGGAAATATTATCAAGGCAATCCAGAAACCAGAATCTAAGCCAAATTCCGTATGCAGCTACCGTCCGATTTCCTTACTTTCTAATACTGGAAAATTATTCGAAAAATTCCTATTACAAAAAATTAAAACACATTCAACAAAACCAAACACATTTTGGTTTTCACAACTTTCATTCAACAAATACCGCATTAACTTTATTGAGCGATTTTGTATGATCTAACCTTAATCGCCGCTGGGCCACTATAGCAGTCAGTCTTAATAAAGAAAAAGCTTTTGATACAACATGGAAAGAGGGTATTATATACAAATGGTACAAACAATTTAAATTTGACATAAATATAATTCCTATTATCTACAATTATTTAAGTGACTATTTTATCTTTTATTTTCATTTATTTTTTTACTATCAAAAAGCTTCATAAATATTTCTATCCAAACCTGAAAAATTGTATAGCAAGCATTCAAATAAAACAATATCAAATAAAAACTTTTTATAAAAAATGTTAAATAACTCGCATAGACAAATATCTTACGGACAATGCACTACGGTTCTTAAATAAACTGAATCTCCTAGAAAACGAACGCACTAAAACGTATATTAATGAAAAAAGACAATAGAGTATCCTCTTACTGAACAATGCAAATATCCTAAGATGTAATGATATGTGGTGCAAAGATAAAAAGTTGTTATTCTATCACAGAAAGTAGAATTTTTATGTGATAATTGATAATTTCGCTAATAATGTAGATCAACATATCGTTTCAAAATAAAATATGTTATTGTAAGAATGAGTTTACTCTTTTAGAACGATTTTTACTTAGTTTCCCAACTTAGATAATATGAGTAAAATCGTTAAATTCCTTAAAATATCTAACCTCTACTATCATATATAAAACCAATACCAACGACTTATACAATTACATAGCTAATTGATGTAATCCAGAAAAAAAATCCAAATTGTTATACATATTGTACAATAAAATAATTCTCAAAAGCATGTTCATATAACACCAAAACATACACTGTTACCTTCTCAACATTCTCTAGTTAAGTTTAAGTATACAAATTACATATAATAATTTATCACTAAACACAAGTGTAGCGTAAGGCCCCAGCAGCCAAAGCTATCCCTTCTGTTAGTTAAGTTTTATAAACTTTTCTATCAACTATAAATAAATAAATAAATAAATAAATCAATAAAAATGCAACATTGAAGCATCCAAGTGCAAGTTAAATCTTATTACAGCTAAAATCCAAAATTCCATAAGCAACCACAAAACATGACTCTTTCATTTGATAAAGACGGATTTAGTTTCAGTTTAACAACTCTTGCCTTGAGTTGCTTATAAAAACCTTTTATTTAGTGGCCACACGAGTAGAGGGAAAATAATCAACAAACCTCACCGAACTTCGAATCAGTCGAATTTGTCTTCTAAGGTCTAACAGAAGGGAAGAAGCGAGGCAAACTCATTTCAATATCAGCACTTATGCTCATATAATAATTTGTAGTTTATTTATTTTATATCTAAAAATGAAATTAATTTAGACCTTCGTCAATTTTACTGTTAAATTAAGTAATAAAATGCTTTCTTTAGAACGTTATTGAATTGGGTTGCCCAAAAAGTAATTGCGGATTTTTTAAAAGAAAGTAAATGCATTTTTAACAAAACTTAGAATGAACTTTAATCAAATATATAATTGGCATTTTGTTCGATAACCTTTTGCCATCTTCCTGGCAAATTTAGTATTCCACGCTCATAGAACTTCTGGCCTTTATCTGCAAAAAACTGAACCAAGTGCGATTTTATAGCCTCATCATTGCCGAAAGTTTTACCATTTAAGGAGTTCTGCAAAGATCGAAATAAATGGTAGTCTGATGGTGCAAGGTCAGGGCTATATGGTGGATGCATCAAAAGTTCCCAGCCAAGCTCACTCAGTTTTTGGCGAGTGACCAAAGATGTGTGCGGTCTAGCGTTGTCCTGGTGGAATATGACACCTTTACGATTGACCAATTCTGGTCGCTTCTCCTTGATGGCTGTATTCAATTTGTCCAATTGTTGACAGTAAACATCCGAATTAATCGTTTGGTTCCTTGGAAGCAGCTCAAAATATACGACACCCTTCCAATCCCACCAAACAGACAGCATAACCTTCTTTTGGTGGATATCAGCCTTTGAAGTGGTTTGAGCTGGTTCACCATGCTTGGACCATGATCGTTTTCGACTAACGTTGTTGTAAACAATCCATTTTTCATCTCCAGTTATGATTCGTTTTAAAAACGGATCGAATTCATTGCGTTTAAGGTGCATATCACAAGCGTTGATTCGGTGTGTTAAATGAATTTCTTTCAATACATGTGGTACCCAAATATCAAGCTTTTTCACCAGTCCAAGACTTTTTATGTGATAATGAACGGTTGATTTTGGTATATTTAACTTCTCTCCTATCTCACGCTCAGTTACATGACGATCCAATTCGATTAATGCTTTGATTTGGTCATCATCAACTTCATTTGGCCGACCTGAACGTGGCTCATCTTTAAGTGAAAAATCTCCAGAACGGAATTTGCGAAACCAATTTTGACACTGTCTTCCTTTTAAGGCTTCATCACCATACACATCTCGTAACTTTTTAGCAACCTGCTCCGCGTTTTTTCCTTTACGGAAATAATAAAGTAAAATATGACGAAAATGCTCCTTTGTGGGCTCCATATTAAAATTGACGCCAAACAAACAAATGTAAACAAAATTTCGCGCACTTTTTTTCTAAAGCAAGCTAAAAGTAACAGCTGATAACTGAAAGAAGAAAGAATGCAATTACAGAGTCACAAGCCGTTGAAAAAATTTGTAAACGCCGACGATATAAAAAATCCGCAATTACTATTTGGGCAACCCAATAGTTATTTAGCGTTAAGTTAATAATTCATAGAAAAGAGTTTTCTTTGGAAAAGTGTTGTACCTATTTTGATAGATGCGGTAGTACCCATTTTTCACTTGCTCAAAAAAATATTGATTTTGTGCCTTTCGGATACGGTCAGAATCTATTACGCCCTTTTTTCAACTTGACTTTATGAAAATAGATAAAAAAAAACTGTGCAGGTCCTATAAAAATATGCATTTGCTGTTGAGCGCTTAGTCGAGGTGAAGGAGAAACACTAATGACTGTGGACTATTCTCGTTTTAGCTTAAGCGGCCTCCCCATGGAATACTGAGTGTTTATCGAACTGTGGGGATGGTTTTAGTTGGTTTAAGTCTCACGGCGAATTATTCTTGATTTAAACACAGTCCACACAACAACAAGGCGACAGCAGGAAAGCCACGTTTGGTTGTCAACTGAGAAATAACTTTCAAACAGGCGATGAGGAGTAGAGAAGTTGGTACTCAAATTATATAAGGTAAAATATTTAGTACTTTAGCAAGTTTAATGAAATAAACATTTATAACATATTGTATCATTGTAGTATCGCTCCGTGACCCAAGTGTTCAAAACTCAATATCGAATGTTATTGTTCTGTTTGCCTTAAAGTTCCCTTTTGTGAAATCCGCATTGCCTAATGGCAAATAATAAATTTAGTATGCGCACAAAAGCATTCATTTGATGGTTCATAAACTTTACGAAAATAATTTAAAATATCCGGTGAGCTAGCATTTCGAATATCCTTATTAACTTTTACGGTCAAATATATTAAAACACATACGTGTGTAGATACATGACATTATAATAACAATTTCATTTGTTCAAATAAAAATCTGTTTTATTTTGTAGTGTCGCAAAATGACGGTTGACAAACCGATTTTTCAAATACAATAGTTTTGAAATTCATTTCGGAACGGAGGTGTCAATAAACACAACAATTTTTAACAAAATTATTCAGCAGCAGCACAATGAAGACAAAATTTGAATTAAATTATATGCTTCATTCTTGACTGTAAGAAATTAGCGCCTGCATTTGAAATTAGCTTTTAACACAATCTTTTATCTCTAGAAACCTTATCAGTCTAATCAAGGAATAGCGCGAAAATTCTATGCAGATTTGTACCTATCAGAATACTTACAAACGCTACTGAGTTGTACATTGCTTCTCCCTGATACTGCTCTGTGTTCTCTACAACAACAGTACTGGTATCTTCGCTAAAGCACAATAGGTAGGCCATCCAAGGTTCCAATGTAGGCTGTCTACAGTAAGCAAATTAAGAGTCGGCGAGTCAGCAACAGAAATTCAAAATCAATGTTGTTGGCTGAATGAACGCCATGTATGTATGTATATGTGTATGTATGCACATCTGAAGGAGTACGGAGCCTACAATGCCAAGTTGGTAGCAATTGCAGATTTGTATGCCGATACCCTGAAAGTGGCCACCAGAACAACAGCAGCACAATTCACATGCACACACATGCCATATTGTTGGGGAGAAGCCTATCCGCAGAGCCAAGTGCGTTTTCGCATCCAACATCCGTCCCTTTTGGGCTGATGCAACAACAACTACGAGTACTTTACATCCACGTTCATTGTACCATGCAGCAGCTACCAGACCGACGGTCCGTCTTCATTCATGAGAAGCGTGAGTAAACGTGTACGGCATATTCGCATTGTCATGATTGGAAAATGCCCGGTAGCAGTTGTGTTGTCGATATTTCTGCGCGTCGACAATAAATTTGGCAATGGTCAAACATTGCCCCAAGGCAGCCAAGCAGACAAGCGAACGAAGACTCAGCAGCAAGAACAAGTCAAAGGATATAGCGCAGATGATGTAAGAAGACGTTAAAAACAAACTCAGCAAAGGCAACAGTGCTTAGGTTAGGTATCGGTGGGTCGACGGCACTATCGTGCTTATCGCATCAAGTAAGAAGAGGCGGAGGCAGCTCGCCATGGAGCCACCGAATCAAATCACAATTTCTGCATTTACCGCTCTGCCACACCCTCCCACTATGTTGAGTTTATACACATACTCTTTAGGCTACCACCGACTCGGCAGCAACATATGCCCGAAGGGAAATGTTATGGCACAAACGAAGCGGATTGGAGAGTAAAGTAAACGACACCGAAAACTAAGTCAAATGCAAAATAAATCAAAATATTGCTGTGGTTTTGTGCAGATATTAAAAAAATGTGTATATGCGCCGTTGTGTAGAGCTGCATCAGCCGCCTTTGAGGCTTTGCAACTCCAGCCGCCATAGCACATGACTTTCAGTTCGCTTCGGATGCCTAATATGTTGGTAATAAAACAGTAGGCGATCGACAGGTCTGCACGAAGTGCAACGAGAACTGCGCTGTCGCAGGTTTCTTTCAAGATATCAAGACAGTGATACTCTGATCATATGCCAGCCTTATGTGCGAGCAGTGCTATATCTTTTCAGATGGACAACTTCGGGAAAACGTTTACTCATGAACTTCCACAAGAGCGCAGATGGCTTATCGGGGAAACGGTAGCACTCTCTTCGGAGGCTTGGTCACATTGGGACGTAAGTTAAGCGAAAGCGCAATGCATTTTGGTATATTTCCATGACTTGACTTCGCAAGTCAAGTGTCATTGTATGTAAATTTTTTCTTTGTATATGATAATTAGAAGTAAGAATTATTAATTATTTAAGTTATTTTTTATATGTTGTCGTGGCTATCTCTCTTAGGTTGGGTTATAGTTTTCCTTAGAAAAGTATTCGAAAGTTATAAAGCTGAATAGATGGCGTATCTCGCGTTGTCTAAGTCCGATCGGGTTTCGCTAGATGGCGTTAGAAAAAGGGTTTTTCATTAGTTGATTCTACTTTGTTTGAGCGTACGTCAAATATGGACACCAGCAAAGAGAAAATACGCTATATTTAGAGTTTTTTCTTCGATAAGAGCAAGAACGCAAGCCTGGCCGCTGAAAATGTTTGGCACCATTTGAATGAGGCTGGAAAAGAAAAATAAAAATTAAAGCCTTGAATTTCATGCAAAACTACAAAACTTATGCTTATGCCAAATGTTTGTGAATCACCACAGTCGCGCAGGTGATTGAAAAATGGTCACGTTTTTGGTTTTAAGAGGATATTATGTGAACATAATCGCCAAACTACTCAAGCATTTGGTAAAATTCTGATAATAAATTTGAAGAGACTGGATCTGTTACAGTTATTGGACATCATCCTTTTGTTCTTTTTATCACAAATATAGCTACTGTAAGCGAAGGTGTAGCTGTGTGTTCTTAAGAGCTGAGATTTTCTTACGGCACACAACAATTGGTTGGGTTCTTAAACAACAAGTCGTGAACGGTGATTTTTCGAACCGAATTTTCTTCAGCGACTAAGCATAATCTTTGCCTAAGTGAGTAAAATTGTCGCATTTCAAATAATCAAAAAGAGGTAAGCTATTATAGCCGAATTAATAACATTGCGCAATTATTTCCTTCTTTTCGCTGTGTGACACCAATTGGAGGGGTGTTGTTTTCCCCATCCTCTGCTTCCACCGGCGGTTAGAGGATCGAAAACTTTCAAAAGCTGGAGTATTCTTATCCAGAGGATCATAAAATCTTTCTGTCGAAAACTCCTAACAAAGACTCATCGGATGCTGTCAACGCCTATTCAAAGTAGCACCTGTTAGCTGGGTGATTCTACACTGGATTTCCATTCTAACATTGTTGTTGATGTTTCTGCTGGTTCCAAGATAGACGAAATTATCTACGACTTGAGAGTCATGACCGTCAACAGGGTCGTGGGAGCCGAGTAATGAATGCGAAGAATGTTTGTTTGATGACAAGAGATATTTCGTCTTGCCCTCATTCACTACCAGACCCATTGTTGAGGCCAATGATGTCAATATCATCGGCGTACGCCAAGAGCTGTACACTCTTATAGAAGACTGCTCTGCTGCTCTTATTATTCTCTCCAGCCTCAAGTTAAAGAAGCCACACTGTAAGGAGTCACCTCGTCTGAAACCTCGTTTAGTATCCAACTGTTTGGAGAGGTCCTTCCCGATCTTGAGATTTTAGTGTTGCTTAACGTCAGTTTACATAGCCGTATAAGTTTTACGGGAATACCAAATTCAGACAAAAGTAAATCCTATACGCGCTTTCGAAGGCGGCTTTAAGTCGACGAACTGGTATTTTCTAGGATGACGCGTGGTAAATATCTGGTCAATGATTGATTCACCAGGTCTAAAATCACACTGATAAGGTCCAATCAGCTTGCTGACCGTGGGCTCTTGTCTTTATGATGGCTAGTTTATATTTTCTTTGCCATTCAACTGTCTGGATAAGTATTACCTGCTTAAATTCAAGATCCGTTACTAGATCACCTTTCTGTGTCCTACAAGAGTGTGATCTGGTCTTGAAACCCTCTGTAAGTCGACATATATCGTAAAATTTTCGAGCATTGCCGAGTCGGTCAGCTTTTCACGCTTTTTATACTCACTCATTTCGGCTTCTTTCTTTTTTGTCGGCAAATGCGTCCTGCTTCTGTTGTGGTCGATTTCGAAGTTGCGAGGTGATCAGCGTGCTTTACCTCCACAGCGACACAGCAAGGACTGAGGGCCACCGTGCCAGTTGTTTCAGCGACCTTTCAGAAATCTAATATTTTGGTTTACATCTGTATTTAAGGAGTTTGAAATGCTCTTCCACAGTTCACTTACACCGAGTTGTTGATGACTTCTCAGAGAGCAGGTGACTAGGAAACCGTTTGAACCGGATAGTGGCCCGAGTCAATGTTGAGTTCTCGGAGTTTACGCACATAAAGAACACTGGAGACTTGTATTCCGACTATCACAACATGGTCGATCTGGTTTTGAGTTTTTCGATTTTGGATGTTGGTCTGACATTAACTTGAACCCTGGAACACGAAATAGGAGTGCGTACTGCTAAATACTCGGCCTTTGCGGCGCCAGATCTAAGATAACAGAGAAGTGCCGTTTTCTTTTGAATGTATTGGATCTCCAATCGAGGTGCAAATGAAAATATAATTTGAAAATTGGAGAAACATATGGGTCTCCACTTGAGCTCAAATCGATTTCCAAGAAAAAATGTTTATTTGGTTTTGAGGGTAAAGTTTTGTGGAAGCTCTATATGTACTAGCGATGGAGCTTCGTTCATTCCGAAGTATTAAGTAAATCTTGGTATCATTTCGCACTGCATTCCATGAGCTCGGTAGGGGTGGTCGCGAGAACCTATTCTTTCACAGCATTTTCAGGTTAAGCCAATGTTCATATGTTGCCATATTGCCATTATGCAAGTCGATTCATATTTCTGACTTCATACATATATAATATTTCATTAAATCAATGCAAAAGAATGAGCAAATAAGCCATGATAATTTAACAACAACAATTGGAAGTAATTTAAAACAATTTCCAAACGATAAATACGGCGAAACGGCGAAACAACCATTACATGAAACAATTTAAAATAATTCTATTGCATAATGACAGAACACGACGCGCAGAAAGCGGCCAGCATTGCAAGGAAGCGTGTCCGCGACAATTCGGGCATATGTCCTAATTTGTTGCTTATTTTTTATTTCGATTTTATTTTCTATTTTGCATTTAAAACACCGGATTTGACCTAAAATCCTGTTGCTCAAGCACCGCTGCGTGCACGCATTGCTTTCGTTGGCGGGAGGGGAACTGTCCAGTAGTAACTGTCGTATCTGCAGTCTGTGTGAATGGGCGACAATCAACGCTTAATTTAACTGACGCCGGCAATCGTACGACCGCCAACCCACTACACGAGCCTTCCCCCTCATTGTTCTTGCCTTTCACTTGCAACGCTTACGGTCATTGCAGCGCCGCCATCTACGGATGCAGAGGATAACACGCGTTCTTTTTTATTTCGCAAAAAATCACTGTTCAGTAGCGCACTTTTTAAAATTATGGACTTTTTTCAGCATTTCATCCCTCAAAAGCCCAATGCCCGGTCGCATTTGAATGGGCCATCACTAACTGTTCATGACAATCAGTGAAGCACTGTTTATTCGGTTTTTATTTTACTTTTATTGTTATGGTTTATTAAAAAATACTCGCTTATTTAATGGCTTTGCGCAGTGAACGCGTTGAGAAAAATTAATGGCACTGGGCAACAGGGCTTGAGAGCTGCGACTGCACTGCACTATTTATTGCCTCACATCTCATTTATTTAGATTTCTTATTTCCTATGCTTTCTTGGCCCATTTCCATGTTCCAAGGAGAACTAAAGCCTTCATATGCGATGTTCATTTTTGATTATTCAGAATTCTGTGAAAAATTATTGTATTACTAAAGGAAGGGCGTTGGTATGGGACCCAATCAACTCTCCGGGCCATAGCCATGTCTACGTTTATCTCATGTAGGATATAAAGTTTAATTATCTATGACAGCCTTTAAAATCAAGTAGAATTTTATTTGGCACCGATTCCTAAATATTCATTTGTGAAATCTATAACGTCAAAGCCGATTAAGTCGATATCAGTAGGCGACGGTATTCTTCCGAATATATGCTAACTTAGCATCACGTGCTTTAAGGCTACAGTGCATTCTTTGGTCCTTTTGGAATTGGCGAAATAATATTTTAAATTAAAGTTTTGCTTCTATTTTTTTGTGTTTATAGAAAATAAATGTTCTGTGGCAGGTGTGGTTGTATTGTATTCTTAGTTTGTGTCTGATCCCAATTACCTTCTTATACCTTATTTATGAGAAAATTTGATCTTCTGTAGAGAAACACTCTTTGAAGCAGGGATAAGCTGGTAAAAAGAGTATCATTGTCTAAAAGCATGATTCGTTTACTGTTTAATTTGTCAAAGATTAGCTGCCTTGATGTATAATTTTTTTATCAATAATGTCTGTGCGCCAGCAAGAAATGTTTTCGGCTTTGCATGGAGAAAAATCTGCGGCGAACAAATTAAAAACAGTAAGCGATTTAGTTTTTCAAACTTTGTAGAAAAATCTAATTGTAGTAAGATACTTTGAATACAATTGCTGAACAACTGAAAATTTTCTGCAAAAGGTCATAGAATGTGCTATCCGGCGAAAGAGTAAGCGGATTTTGCAGAAGTTCCCGTGCAGAAAATTCCGGATCACACAATATCTAGAATTGTTGAGGCTTATCCTGACAATTTTAGCCCATTTGAAGACGGCGAATGTTAAAATTTGCGACTTCCCCATTTGGGGTTTCGACGGAAGCTCGGGGCACTCTGTATACTAAAAATGGCTGATGAGACATTCAGGGTCGAATTGGCGTTATTGGTAGGCATTCCAACGCAAGGCTCGGGTAAAATCAATAGCCGAAAAACAGCTCATCCATTTTTTGAAAGTTTTGTTGTATCTTCTAGAATTATTGGTGTGAGCCATGGCCATAAATAATAAAACGACTTGAAATCATTTTCGTTCTCGGGATATTTCATAAACATCGAAAGCTTCGAAGAATACGCATTAGGAACCGCGAAAATTTTCAGAGAATATCCACGATTAGCTCAGTGCAAATAATTTTGATACAAGGAACTGATATCATAAAAAGTGTACCACTTCCCATTGGCATGATGTCGGAAGAAGCATTGGAAACTAGAAATAAAGATTTGAGATACTTCCGCCTTAATAATACTCGCAAGAATTCGCGCAAAACTACAATGGAGGATCTAATGAATTAATTATTAATCTCTTGGGATCCACTCATAACCAATATGTGCAAAAGTGGATCACATTGGTCCAGCAAAGACTTTTGATATGATAGGGAATCTCAAAAATCTGCTTTTGAACTTTCATGATTCGGGCAAAGAAATTAAAGCAATATTATTGTTATCTTATTCAATTAAACCAAAAAAAAAAACCTTTGCGTTTTGTACCTTTGGATTCTTGTTCAATGTAAAGGAATATGAAAATCTTCATTTTCCTTTTGTGCTCGAAGTAATAAATTTCATTACGCTAAGTCCTTCAAATCGGCCACTGTGCGTCGTTAACACATGAGTGATCGTAAATATTTCCCATTCAACCATTCAGTCAACCATTTAATCCGCCGATACGAGAACAGTTTTTGCTTCATACGAAGAGAATGTATCTTCGCCTCCTTAAAGACTGTGAAGTCGCCCTTCTTACGTAGTGCTTAGGCACCATTGCTGAATCGTGTTCGTCAGAGTAGTGATACTGCAACTAAGCATGCTCAATTCTACACTTAACAAGCACCTTCCTGTTTCCTACTGGAAAATTTTATTCAAAAGTTTAGTAACTCTCCGCATATTTTGAGACAAACTGTTGATATTCCGGGTTAGTCTCTCTGATGGTTCCGCAGCACAAGACTGACCATTCGTTTTTGCCTGATGAAGGTTTTTTAGACTTTTCTATCATAATTCTAGAGCAGAGCTCAACTAGCTTAAAAAAGAATTAGTCGCTTCTTTGCGAGCTTAACAATTCTTTAAACTATTTATTTGGCACTTCCTTTGTCGAGCTCAAATTCTGAAGAATGATTTTTGATAGTAGTTTACATGTATCACATTGTCTCGCCAACAGAATCAAAAGCCAATTGTAGTCGCGACCACAACAAATAAAAGTCGGTACATACAAGTACAAGTTGCATGTGAGTGACATTGCAACACCCTTCTGCCTGTACTTACCTCTAAATAGTATCTCAGTCATACTATTCGCACATAACCTCGACTTCTGTGGAAAGTTGACAACATCTTTTGAGTGCCTCCGCGAAAGCATGTCAAGTATCGTTCAAGTTCGAGAGTTCGCAGAAATTTGGCGATCTGACATGTGCGGTCAGCCACCACAGCAGCGAAAAGCAGTAGCAAAGTGTTTGCACAAATCGATCAGATTGCAATGACACAAGCGTGCTTCATGCCACACACAAGCAATATTCATCCAACGGAGGTGCTGATGAAGCCAGTCGTGCGCTGGCTGAGCCTCAGTTTACCATTTGGCATTGGTTTGCTGCACAGATGCGCCTGGGTGTTCCACATGACAAGCGTCTGCGCCTGTGATAAGTCTGTTGCAACAACATATTATGGTTTGAGTGCTATAATTAACGTGTGGCACGTTGCTGTTGATGTCACGCGAATTATTGTCAACATGCGCTATTGTTGCTGCTGCCAGTGAAACCGTTTGTTTGAAATTATGAGCGAATTTATCCAAATGAAGTGAATTTCGTGGGGCTTCTTACATTTGTGTTGGCGTGTGGCAAGCTTATCTGATAGTTAATGCAGAAATTCTCCTTCTCTGGTTAAATTTTCCAACTTTGCAGAGAACTTTACTATTTGCTTTAACGAACGTCAAGCGCCGATTCTCAGAACCACGGTAATTCCATTCCTCTTTTGCCAACATGCTATTGGTATGTGTGTGCGTGTTTATGTTTTAGCGCTAACTATTATTTCAGGTTACAGGCGACCGCTATAGCCAAGCGAGTAGCTGTGCGTGATTCCAGCCGCATAGTCATGCAGTCGATACCACAAAAAACGGCTTCTTACAGAGACCCATCAAACGTTCCGCAGGAAAAAATCTCCGGAATCTCCACACCCCGAATCTAAAGAGAAGCTTGGCCAAATATCGCTTTCAATTAAATGTAAATATCTGCTTGTGTACATACACACATGTGCAAGGAGGAGGTACATGGCCAATCGATTAGCCTTTATGAGCTGGACTTAGTTCAAATTACGGTTAACGCGCACACCATGGCAGTACTATTTCGTTGAAAATTAACAATTGGAACAACCTGACTTGATGTAGATCACAGTGAGTACTGCTCACACACAGCCCACACGTTCCCTGCGTACTCAAGTACATATGATTTCATCGGTTTTGTGGCGTCTCAGGAGTGCAATAAACGAAATTTCTTATTTGCACCAAATTGTGCCTAAGTGGATATTTTGCGTGTGGCTCTGCAGCCTCAAACTTGACCACCCTGAGTTCTCTCCACTCTCTCCCATCGACATGCAAGTATGGGTTGTGCTAGTTTCGTGCCTCGAACGCAATTTTTTTCCTCACTTTTTATTGCGATTCGAAGGAATCCCTTCCCCATCCTGTAAACCAAGTTCAAAATAGCTTAGGAGAGGGTTAGCTAAAGAATAGGTTGCTATTTTAAGTTGAATAACCCCGCAGTGCTCTTGATTTCATCAGTCACTGTTGGAATTATCGATTAAATAAAATGGAACATTTTGAATTTATTTTTTCTTTTAGTTTGCATTTGAGTTAATTTTTTTCCTTGCGGCAGTTAAAGCGAACCCAAGAATAAAGCAGGCCTCTTGGTATGTGAGCTTCATGAAGCGGCGCGCGTTATGTGAGTGATGGGGCACGCACCCCACTTAGGAGAAATTGCACAAAAGCACTACACATACATATATATGTACTCGTGTATTTTCGAGTTGGGGTGGTCACGTACGAGATTTTCTCGTTTATTACATTTCCCTTAGGTTTATTGCTTCCTCAGCCGCCAAATTCTATAGCTTTGCTCCCCCAGAAGAAGCAAACCATAACCACTACATCTGCATACTCATACATTCATACTAAGATTTTTATGTGCGTATGAGTGGATATTCGTTAAAAAAATAACACTCCAATGATAAACAAATGCCTTTAGGACGGTTTTCTAGAACAACTTTTGAGTACATATGTACATACTCGTATGTACATATTTCTGTATAAACGTTTGTGCGTAGATTGTTTTTCATTTGTCTACAATTTTTTACGCTCTTCTGTTGCTGTCAAAAATTCGTTCGTTTGGAAATTTCCTTTTGCGGCCGAGACGCTTTAATTTCGGTTTGTGCTTATTTTAAAACGTGATCCCACTAACTCAATGGATGGGACACGCTTCAGCAGTTAGAGAATTGTTCGGCCGGTATTTTAAGAAATTTTGTGGACAACTACTTTTTTAAATCGTGATTTTGGCTTCCAATAAGGCCATATTTTCTTCTTTGCTGGCGTTGGCACCGTTTACGTGATTATAGCCGAATCAACATTTCTTTTGCGCTGTTGGGCTCCAGTTGTAGATATGTACCTAATGAAACCAGTTCACTCTCCACTTTTCCGCTTTCTCTGATTCCATCAGCGGATACTTCGTCGAGTACTTTCAAAGCTGTAGTATTCTTATCCATTCGGACGACATGACCTAGCCAGCATAACCGTTTCATAACTGTTTCTTCACTCGCTGAACTATGTCAATATGCCATATATCTCATACAGCTCATCGACAAACTCCCAAAGTCGACTCATCAAATGTTGACATCGTCCATGCTCATGCGCCATATATAGTACGATGGGTATGATGAGCGACTTGTAGAGTTTGGTTTTTGTTCGTCGAGAGAGGACTTTGAGTTGTGTTGAGTTGATGTGGCTGCTGCTACCAGCACACTTAGGCTAACAGGGCCATTGTGATACCACTGAGGCTCCTGCCTTCACCTTCTCAGATGATCGAAACATTTCGTGTGCCTTATAAAGGCAACGAGACTTCCAACATTCGCTGAGGCTATCTCAACGAGACATTCAAAGAAAAGTTTCCCAAGAAACCTGTATCGCGCTGATGTCAAGGCTGGATAGTGGCAGAGGTGGTGTTCGGTGGTCTGCTCCTCTTCTTGGTCCCTGCAGCTGCGGCAGAAATTATTAGAATGTCTCATAGTTTTCCCGTGAAGCCGCTTAAGCAGTGTCCAGTTATTATGCCCGTCTTATGCTATGCTATGAGACATTCTAACTGGTTTAGAAGGATAAGATGTTTTAATTTTTTCCTGTCCAGCTTCGGCCATAGCTTTTGGTCACGTTACACGTGGTCTCGTCCAACCATTTTGAGTCAGCTTCCGTGGTGAAGGCCAATTTAAGCATGTACTTAGCCGTGGACAGAGGTAAACCTGCATCGTGTGTATGCTTTATCGTGAGTAGAAGTGTTTCTTTCTAGTTTGCTAGTTCATCTAGACAGCGGCAGACAGGTCTAAGGCCACACTGATAAGGTCCAATAAGTTTGTTTTTCCCACAAAACTCTCGACAGAACCTTACAAGCGTACTTAAGGTGGTAGTGGCTTATCCCATTATAATTTGCGCAGACTAAGGGATAGCCCTTTTTTTGTGTAAGGCCATATCGGTAGACCTTAAATCATAATGGGTTGAAAGTGTAGTACGTCAGAAAGAATTAATTTCAAATTAACTTCTACTGCAAGGGATATCAGGCACTTCGAGTGTATTTCTGACATGAAATGAAAGCTCCACTTAAAACCCCATATGCGTATCGGAGGCGTCCTAGAATGAACTGTAGGCAGGCTGCGTATGTCAACAACAACGCACCAAATCTCTTTTAAGGCTTCAATCACCTCACCAAAAGTTTCCTTCCGTCTTGTTGGAACAAAGGTCGTCCACATCAACAAATTTCAATTTGAGCACAGAAATGATGTCTTTTGCACATATAGAACACCAAACAGCGGATTGTCTTCACACACAACAATTGTGTTTAATATCGTTCCGATACAACCAAAAATGTCCTTCAACGTTGAACAAATCTTTCTACTGAAAATCGGAATCGGTGGCCATCTCGTTTTGGGCACGCACTTGATAGTCGTTCAGCTTCAATTCTCGCGTTGGTTGAATTTCGTAAGCTCGAAAACCATGTGCGTTATGCGCGAGTGTTGCTTGAATTGCCGACTCTGCTGGAAGATTATGTAGACCGAAAATGAAGCGCACGATTCGTCGAGCAAAACGAAGATGTATTGTTGCTGAGGAGGAAATGCCCCGAAATGTATATCCCAGCTGGAAAACGAGTCTTTAAATGCACTGAATAATTCAATTTGAATTCGATTGAGAATATCTTGAAAAAAAAAAAATTGAAAAAAGGATGCA